TCATTCCCCTCCTCAGCTGGACAGGGGGAGAAAAATACAACGGAAAGCTTGTGGGTCAAGATAAGGACAGGGAGATCACTCAGCAATTATTGTCACGGGCAAAACAGACTCAACTTGGGGAAATTAATTTAATTTATTACCAATCAAATCAGAGTAGGATAATGAGAAATAAAACCAAATCTTAAAACACCTACCTTTCCCCCACCCCTCCCTTCTTCCCAGGTTCAGCTTCACTCCCGATTTTCTTTACCTCCTCCCCCTAAGCAGCACAAGGGGACGGGGAATGGGGGTTGCAGTCAGTTCATCGCACACTATCTTTGCTGCTTCTTCCTCCTCACTCTCTTCCCCTGCTCCAGCGTGGCATCCCACTCACAGGAGACAGTCCTCCACAAACTTCTCCAGCACAGACCCTTGCCACGGGCTGCAGTTCTTCACAAACTGCTCCAGCGTGGGTCCTTTCCAGGGGGTGCAGTCCTTCAGGACTGCTCCAGCGTGGGTCCCCCATGGGGCCACACGTCCTGCCAGAAAACCTCCAGCACAGCTCCTCTTCACAGGGTCACAGCCTCCTTTGGGCACATCCCCTGCTCCGGTGCGGGCTCCTCCCCGGGTGCAGGTGGAGATCTGCTCCGCGCGGGCTGCTCCCCCATGGACCTCCCTGGGCTGCAGGGGCACAGCTGCCTCACCATGGGCTGCACCAGGGGCTGCGGGGGAATCTCTGCTCCGCGCCTGGAGCACCTCCTGCCCTCCTTCTGCACTGACCTTGGGGGCTGCGGAGTCGTTCCTCTCACATGTTCTCACTCCTCTCTCCCAGCTGCTGTTGCACAGCAGGCTTTTTTTCCTCTTCTTAAATATGTTATCCCAGAGGCGCTACCACTGTCGCTGATGGGCTCAGCTTTGGACAGCAGCAGGTCTGTCTTGGAGCTGGCTGGCATGGGCTCTGTTGGACCTAGAGGAAGCTTCTGGCATCTTCTCACAGCAGCCACAACCGCAGCCCCCCCCCCCCCCTCTATCACAACATCGCC